GGGCGGGGGCGCCCCTCCCCTGCGGCCTTTCCCCCCGGTTGGATCCGCCCGCCGCGGCTCGGCTTTCTCGCCGCGAGTGGTCGGGGGCGGAAGCTCTTTCTCTTTGCCTGGCTTTCCGAGGGCATGTTCCTGGCTGCTGTCCTCAAGTTCCTGAGGCCAAACCCGCTGCGGTCTTGCAGCCCTCTCTGTGGGATCAGGTGAGCGCGGCTGCCTGGGGGCGGAAGGCTCCCCAAAGGGGAGAGGGAAGGGCCGCAGGCGGGTGAGTTGGGCCGTCCAGAAGAGGCCGTGCCCGACCGAGTCTTTTTGTCTTCCTCCCTGGAGGAGAGAAACCAGATGGGGCTGTTTTTCTCGCCCTTCCACACCAGCCGGCTAAACGCCGTTGCTTTTTCCATGTTACGATTCTGCGCGTTGTACGTCAACCGATTTCTCCGAATTGGTGCCCTCCAAATATATTGGACTGCAATACCCATCACCGCCAGCTGTCTTGGTTTCAAGATGCTGGATTTCAGTTCTGCCTGCAAATAAATGTTTCCCTTTGCAAAAATGCCTGGAGGTAAGGCAGGGTGCTGTCCTTTTAATTTTCCATAATACCGCGGAGTAAATGGAGATGGGAAGAAGCTCGAATGTTCGCTCTTGGTACCGGCTACAGGATCCTAGAAGGGTGTTTTTAAGAGCTGGCTTAAAAGCAACTAAGAGGAACGACTGGGGATTTCTTAGTTTGTATTGATAAATAAGACAGGCAGAAACAGTGCTGCTTCTGCATATTCCAAAGTTTTAATGTGAGATCCTTTGAGATTTTCACTGTTTAGAATGCCATTGCCTGCTAGAAAAAGTTGCAGATTAAATATGCATTTTAGAGTAAGGAATTGTAGAATTCAGGTCCTCTTGGACTCCACTCAAGTGTTAGTATTTCACCATGCTGAAACACTGGCAGATATTGAGGGTGTTATTTGTTTAGGATCAGTTTCAGAACTATGCTCAAAGCCATGGTATGTGTGTGTGTGAATGAAACAGTTGCATAATAGGTATAATGTAAATCCCTTCAGTCCACATTTTGGGAACATCCTGGTTTTAAAACAGCTGATTTTTTTATGCAGTAAGTAAGTATATCTGGTGATATTGTTACCCTGGACCAGCTTAATTCTGTTGAAGCAATAGGAATAATAACTAGGAAGTTGAGATGCAGGAACATGCTCGTTCTTTACTTCAAAGTGTCCTTTTTCTCCCCACCAGCTTTTTGCTGCTGTGTTGTGATGGATCTACAAATACATCCAGGTTCAAAAATTATCTCTATTATTTATTTGCAGTACACACTTGATTTTTTGATCTTCAGCAGTGCTTCTAAGTAGATAAGTCACTCAGAGCCTGACTCTCGGCCCATTGTCCTACCTACTGTGAACAGCTGTATATGTCCACTTTAGGATGATGTACCCTTCACTCTGTGCACAGTGCACCATGCAAATAGATATCAATACAAACAGCACACAGTAATCCCACTTCCTGTACAGCATGCAGTCAAATAAATAAAATGCATCTTACTGGGAAACAAGGAAATAAAGCTTCAACAATAACAACATTATTTAGAGAAGTGTTTTGTTAGGACTATGTTGCTGGTGGGAGTACTGTACTAAATGTGAAGCATCAAGTGACTTCCTGTCTTTGTTCCATCCGTGCACAGTATATACTGTATATATTTACAACACTGTTACTGGACTATGGACTGGTCATGTGGTGCATAATTATAAGTGCTTGAAGTTTCATAAACTTGGGTTATGCTGGCCCAGGCATATATAGGCTTGTCACCTCAATCATTTAAATAAGACATATATCAAAGATGCATGTCTGCATAGGAATCAGTATTGATATACAGATTGCAGCCAGCATATACTTTGTAGTCACAGAATATATACAGATAGTCTCCAGTTTAAGAATGAGTTCAGTTCCTAAGGTCTATCCTTAAGTCGAATTTGTATGTAACCCAGAACAGTATTATTGTATAATACTGTATAATTAGTATCATGTAATTAACTCAAACCACTATGTATTTAACTTGAATTTTGCTATAGTAGGCTCCATTCTTAACTATGGGTCATCTGTAATCCAGGTGTTCTTAACCTGGAGACTACCTGTATCTGAACCGGTTCCTATGCAGCCATGTAATATGTATCTAAGCTCTTCTGCAAGTTATGGGGTAGATATTGCATGGTTCCTATGCAATCATTAGGTATATATTTGAATGTCCATAATTTTATATACATCATTTATGTATAAGGGTGTAAACATATATTAAAAATATACTGTGATGTATTCTTTTAATAATATTGTTCAGCCAAGACAACAGTAGGCAGAGTTTCCTGATGGATATGAATTTGAGGGCTACAGACTGTGTATCTGTTTTGTTTTAAGCTTGAAACAATTTATTGCATCTCAAAAGTTCAGTTAAATTGGCTGCAGCTTGACAAAACAAAACTCAGATCATTTGCCCTTTCAGTGTTTTGTTGAAGCAAAACTCAACAGTTTCTAGTGTAGCAATATTGGGAGTTCAGAATGAACCTCTTGGGCTGCAAAATGTGCTGCCTTCTTAAAGTTCAGATTTTTTGTAGCTCAGATTTGCTAGTCCTGCCTTTCCTTGAACAACATTTTTCTTGACTTCAACCTGGATTCTCCCACTGCCACATCTTTGGCATAGTTTCAAAGATGTGCAGCTTATGAAAAATTTTGTGGATGCAGCAAAAGCCAGCAAAAACAAGTAAATACAAGTAATTGCTATAGGAGGAACTTAGTCTTCAGGATGTTCACTTGCCACATTCAGCAGTGTGGCACGGAATTCTGATGATCTTTGGCAAAACTAGGATGGAAAAGTTATTGTCCTGGTCTTGCTTGACTTGTTGGCAGCCTTCAGTCATGTCAACCATGGTAACCTTCTGGTCTAGCTACAAAGATTTGGAATAGGAGTCACCGTGTATCATTAGTTCTCCCCCTTCCTAAGCAACAGGTTCCAGTCTGTGATGGTGGGTGAAGAGAAAAAGTTACTATGTTAAGGGGGTACTACAGGGTTAGTTCCTTTCCACTGTTACTATTTAATATCTACATGAAGCTGTTCATGTATGTTCAGTATGCAGATAATACCCAGTTGTACTTCTTCACTGGCTGGACAGGTCATACAGTTGAGGTACCTGATTTGGTGCCCAGAGGCTGTTAGGGTCTGGATGAGGAGGAAGAGGCTTAGACTGAATCCTAGCAAGACAGAGCAGCTGTGAATACAGATACCTTCTGACCGGAGATATACCATCTTTAGTTCTGAATGGGGTCATATTCCCTTGGATGGAATGGCTCCTGATTTGGGAGTTCCTTGGAACTCATAGCTCCTGCTTGAACAGGTAGAAACCATAGCCAGGAGATCCTTTGCATAAGTGTGTGCACCAGTTGCAGACTTTCCTGGACCAGGAGGCATTATGCACAGTCACTCAGGATACTCACCTATCATACTTCCAAATTGTCCATAAAGCTCCAATCTGTCTACCGTATACAGTATTCTTGCCCATTCACACTCTGTGGCTTTCCTGAGACCATTAGTTATATGACAGTCACCCAACCATTAACACACAACCCCTCCATTTCAAAATACATGTGGTGAAAGACAGGGTCCGTTGTGGTGATATCAGATGACAGGTTGGTGCAAATCTGGGTCTGAAAAGGGGAGCGGCTGGGTTATTTGGATGAGGTGGGGGCAGAATTGAGCTTGATCTTTTTCCTAAAACTGAACGCTCAAAGCAGTTTTGATCTGAAACTGCTGCATTTTGGTTCATACTTGAACTAAAGCATCTAAAGCCCATGTTTTGTTTACTATAGAAACGGTTCCATGCTCAGAACAGTTCGTACTTGAATCATTTTGCACATCCCTATAGAGAATTATTTCATTGGTGACATACCTATAGGAATTTGATCTTGGAGAATACTATCTGCAAGAAAGCTTAGGATTGTCCAGGATGTTATGCAGCAGGGAAAAGAAAATCTCCAGTGCTAATTCCTTCTGGAAATAATGTACATAACAGCTCAACAAAAGTGAGAGAATTAATAGCACATTAATCTATGGCAGCATTTTCCAACCTTATACCCTCTAAGTGTCTTGCATTACAATTATTATTTCAAATCACTGTGGGAATGTCCAATAGATCAGACTAGAGTAGCTATTTAGAATATTACCATACTAATGAGTCAGTGAAGATGAACTAATATTATGGATTAACTAATTTTCATTCTCAGCTATTTTTAATCTTAATATTTCATTATTATACCAATGCAGAGAATGTTGGAGTGTTTCACCTACATATCGGTTGATTGCTTTCTGCAGTATATTGTATAAATCGGTACAAATGACCTAAATGTTTAAATGATTAACTATTCTGGGATAAAACAAATCATGGGCTTTTGATTCTTTGAATTTCTAATTGACTCCTTTAGAAGTCAAGATGTAGGATCTAACTAGTATTTCATATTCCTGGCATTTGACTGTAATAAAGCACGTATCTGACATAAAAGGGTGAAATCTCTAGTAAGAATAGTGCATTTTCAAGGATATTAAGTTTGTATGGCTCTTTGTAGTACAGTGACAACTATTGTTGTATTGCTCTGATTTAGCATTATCTTCTAAAAAAAAAAGTAATATTGTAATCTTTTCAAGGTCATTTTAAGCAAACAGTTCAGGGCATAATTATGGCAAAAAGACTACAGATGTTTTAGAAAAATAAGTAATTGTAGGTTATGTGTTCCAAATCACAGTGAACAAACTGGTTTCAACATATTTATTAACTTTTAACAAGGAAAAGGAAAAATAATACAGTCTTTAGTTCGTTCTTATTTCCCTGCCAAAGGAAAAAGAGGTTGTCTCTAAACAACAGCCTACATGCATAAGAAGGTCTTTAAAGAAGGTCTTTAAATACAACACAATCCTGTATGAATTCTGTCTCTTTAATTCTTTGTATTCTGAAACAATCAGCTGCATACTGAAATAACGTCTTCTTGAAATGCCTTTCCCAATTAATGGGAAAGTCAGATTACCACAGTGTGTATTTACATGTAGCATATCAATTGGCTTTCAGTTCTGAAGTTGATCCAGGGCTATATGGATTAAGTATAGTAGTTCAGTTCAGTGGTGCTCTCACAGAAGTTTCCTTTTATAAGTAACTATTTCACT